GAGATAGCTCTTGGGAAGATGAAGAATTTGATGAGTTGAGAAACAAAAAGTTAGAAAAAGAGTTGATTCAACTAATGGAGAGAAACGAAAATAATGGATATGAATATAGAGATAATTTTGGAGAAAATTTGAATTTTACTGAATTCATTGGATCTGAGATTAAATAAGACAATCCTTCCATCCTTCAAAACCCACAGCCCATTAGAACTACTTCTAAGCTTGAAATATTTCACTCCTTGCAAATGGAACAAATATGTATAGAAGATAAAATGGACTGGGGGAAGATTCTATAGATAAAAGAAGACATTAAGAAATGGATGAATGGAAGAATTAGAGATATCAATCTAGATGAAAAGATTCTAGATTGGGTAAGAGTTAATTTGAAAATTATATGGGTTGATCACATTTTATGGTCTATTAATAGAAAGTATTTATTAATGAATGAGAGCCTTACAAAATAAGATAGAAATGAGGAAAGATTCTCTTCAAAATGGAAATATTATTTTTAGGAGAATTTTGTTAATTTCCATTTTGTTTTGACTGAAAGTATGTCAAGGTATATATATGAAGTATATGAATTTATGTCAAATCTGAAAAAGAATATCATGAAACTTACCTTGGGATACAAATATATTTTGATGGCCATAGATCATCTTATATGATCTAAGAGCTGTCCAGCTGAAGACATTAAATTCAGCCCTGCAAGGGAGGCAACCCATGGTTTTTATTTCATTTTGTTTGATTTTTTTAAGCTCTGTTTTACTTAGAATTTCGTAGTACTTGTTTTAAGCTCTGATTTTTTTAAGCCGCCATAACGCTGGAACTTTGTTTTCCTACTTTCAACTTACTTTTTGCTTCATTTGGTGATAATTTGTGTGATTTAAATTTACCAAGATATACTTCATTCAATTGTTATAGGTCTTAATTTAATCAATTAAATCATCTGTAATCGCTTACATAAGAATCGCCAGGTGAAACTCTATTTTCGTCCGATTTGTGTTTTCCGAGAGCTGGCGTCATCATGACGTCCGCACCCTTCTTTCCCTTTTTTGTGAATTTTAAATATATTTAATTTTAGTTCCTAGTATTAGATTCTTAGAAAATAATATTAGATGAGAAAAATTCTGAATAATTACCTGATAATATATTACATCCCTCTGATCAACCAAGAAAATTAGCGCTATTTTTGGAAGTTTAATTGAATTAAAATTCATATATTTGTTCAAAAAAACTTCTAAATATCTGAAAATTCATATTTTCTAGTTTTATAAATTTTAAATTTGCGTGATTGACTATACAACGACTAAGTCACGTCACTTCTCTTGTTGAGCAGACTAGAGGATGAAACTCCTTGACATGCACCCCACCTCTATCCAGCTCCTCTCTATCGGGTGACAGCCGCCAGAGAGCCGCAAAGTTAGTGTTTTTCCGCTTTGCTGAGTGACAGTCACCGGAGACGATTCAATGACCTATTTCATTGATCTCTAAACTTCGCAAGGAGATCTAGAGATTGCCCACGTCGTCCTTGTCCTAGGAGAGCCTTTGAGGCCATAGACACTACACGACGATCCTCTCGAATGCTTAGGATTCTGGTGCATCGTCGACGTATCGCCACCGCGATGCCGGAACTTTGTTTTCCTACTTTCAACTTAATTTCTACTTCACTTAGTGATAATTTGTGTGATTTAAATTTACCAAGATATACTTCATTACATTACGATTCTTCCAGTTTTTACAAATCTTAATTTGATCAATTAAATCATATGTAATCGCTTACGTAAGAATCATCGGGCGGAACTCTATTTCTGCCCGATTTGTATTTGCTGGGCGCTGATGTCATCTTGACGTCCACACTCTTATTTCCCTTTTTCGTGAATTTTAAATATATTTAATTTTCATTTCCTAGGATAAAATTCATAGAAAATAATATTCTTTGAGAAAATTTCTAAATAATTACCTGATATTATATTACATCCCTGTGATGGACCTGGAAAATTACCACTATTTTTAGAATTTTTATTGAATTATAATTGATATATTTGGTCAAAAATCCTTCTAAATATCTGAAAATTTGTATTTTCTAGTTTTATAAATTTTAAATTTGCGTGACTTACTATACAATGACTAAGTCACATCATGATACATGTGAAAACTTAAGTTCCTAGTATCATGTTGCTTCGTGTGCCATTGGATCAGATGTGCTTCCCCACGTGGGATGCTGAGTGACACAAGATCAACTTGCCATGAATCGCTACCGATCAAGAACTTAAGTCCTTGGTATCATGGTGGCTCCTTAGCTGTTAGATCATCCTTTAAGGCCATGTGTGTGCTTAGTGGCGTTAGATTTGTGAACTGCCAATGGATCATTTTATGCATCTAGTATTGTGGTAGCTCACCCACCATAGGATCTCGCTTATTTGATGACATGGCTCGCTGAATAATGCTAGATCACACTGTGCTCTAGTTGACTACCCTGAGATAGATGAAAACCTTTAGTCTCGCATGCAAAATATTTTAGATGCATGAGCCAAATATAAATCAAAGTTATCATCTTTAGAGATCCCTTCTCCATAAATAAAATAATGCCTAGGACCATCTTGGGAGAGGGCAAAAGCTGGTCCGCCCTAGTGCATGCATGTGTGTATGACACTCCTTGTTCCACGACTAGTTGGCCATTGGGATATGGTCGGGGAGTGATGCACATGTGCGTGGAGTGAGTCCTTCACCACTTGAGCCCAGCTCGCGGCTACCCTAGTCTAGGTCTACCCACTCAACTGTAGCTCCCTTCTAAGTTAGCTGCCAAGTGTCAACTTGCTGGTAGGTGAAATATTTTTTATTTTTTATTTTATATTTTAAAATAATCAAAAACTATACTAAGTATTTTAACTTCATACTTCTAAAATTAACAATAGATCTTATAATTATTCTATAAGTTAAAAAATAAAATAAAATAATAAAACTAATTAAAACACAAAAATTTAGCTTTAACATCTTTCCTATAGAAGTTAGTCTTCTCTAAGGAATAAATTTTTTTAGAAAGTACTTTTCTATTTCTTCTCAACTTTCAAATCTCATTCCCAAATTCTTAAATCATTCCTTAGCTCTATCTTTTAAAGTCAAAGGAAAAAATTTCATCTTCATGACTTCACTAGTGACTCTTCAAAATTGATTCAATGAATATTTTCAGTCCATTCCTCCAAGTATGAATAAAGATCTTCACTAGATAGTCCATGAAAACTAATTAAGAAGTTAATAAATATATTTTCTATCTTTAAACTCACTCTTTCTCTCAAAGGTGGGTAGATTTTAGTGCCTGGTTTACTCCCCATATGATTATGATGCTCTCTCATTTTCATTCTTCTATCATCATGGTCTTGTGGTAAATCTTTATTCCTTGGGTTTTGTGATGGGTCCATCTCCTCAACAATTGCTTCATAGTTACTTCTATCCTCAAGAATTGTAGACCTCTCTATTGAATCAAGGTCCACTACATTTGATTTCTTAGATCTAGTATTGTGCATAAATAATCAAAGGGTTCAAGTAAGGCATACTTTTTGAAGACCTCTTTGATGAATTTCTATAGTGAAAGAAATGTTATAGAAAAGAAAAATAAGAAATGCTAACTTTCGTTGAGCTAGTTGCTCAAAAATTTTACGAAATTGTATATGTGAAAATTGATATTTTTTTTGAGAAACCCTTGACTGATGGCTCAAAAAACTGTTTGTTGAAGAAAAAAAAAGAAAATTCTATTCTCTCAATGACACCTAGCTCCCCAGCAATGGCACCAATTTGATGAACTCGATTTAACAATTAAATATATTGTTATGATGCAACTAAGTTCATGTAAATAACATTTATAAAACCTCACTCTTCAGTTTAAGATAAGTAAGGGTTGATCCTCAGGGAGCGTGGGTAATGAGAGTAATAATTTTACTTATTTTATTTCTTATATATATATATATAGATATACTTGAGATCATGAAAGGCAGAATTAAATCTAAAACAGGGTGAAGACAAAAGAAATGAAAAGTGTGGCAAAGGAGAGAGAATGAATCTAACACTATGGAATTGTAGAATAAATGATAAAACTAGCTTGAATTGAGAGTTAATCTATCAATAGAAAAGATTATAAGGATGCCCCAGAATTAGATCTTGCATAGACTTTGTTGTGTGTCAATCTTAGGTTGAGTGGTGCCTGACCTATGACAATCTTGATATGCTCCAGTTAATCTCTTGATAAGTGATGTGATTTAGTCATTATATGGTAAATCACGCAAGTTTAAAATTTATAAAACTAGAAAATATTAATTTTTAAATATTTAGAAGTACTTTTGAACAAATAAATCAATTATAATTTAATAATATTTCTAAAAATAGTAAAAAAATTCTAGTAAATCATAAGAATGTAATATAATATCTGATGATATTTCAAAAAATTTCTTAAAGAATATAATTTTTTATAAATTTTAGATTAAGAAATAAAAATAAAATATATTTAAAATTCGTGAAAAAGAGAAATAAGGCTGCAGATGTCAAGATGACGTTAGCACCTGACGAACACAAATCGAGCAAAAATAGAGTTTTACGTAGTGATTCTCACATAAGTAATTACAGACGATTTAATTGGTCAAATTAAGATCTGTAAAAGCCTAAAGAATCGTAATTGAATGAAGGGTAGTTTGGAAATTTAAATCACATAAATTATCTCTAAATGAAGCAAGATCTAATGTTGGAGAAGGGAGGAAAGGAAGAGAAAATTATTCTTCACATGGTGTTGTAAAATATAAATCAGATGGTTTATCATGTAAAAATATATGATCAAGAAAAGTACCAATCCTATCAATATCGGAATAATCTTCTTCTCCCCTTGGATAATTAGCTGCTCTAAAAATATTAAGAGACATTTTATGTTCTTCAAAGAAAATATCTAGCATTCTAGTTTCACAATCAATATTTGCTTTTTCTGTAGCAAGAAATGGACATCCTGAAATGATAGGCATTTATTCTAATTCATGTGACAATGTCATGTCTAAAACCAGAAAATCAACGAGAAAATAACATTCACCTACCTTAATAATTACAACTTCTAATATTCCTTTAGGTTTCTTGGTAGATCTATCTACAAATTGAAGAATTGTAGAGGCTGGTTTAAGCTCACCAATCCTAAAATGTTCAGCAATGACAATAGGTAAAAGATTAACACTAGCACCTAAATCAAGTAATGCATTATCAAAAATAATTCCACCAATTTCACAAGAGATTAGAGGTGCACTTGGATCTTTGCATTTCATGGGCAATTGATCAAGAATAATTGCACTTACTTGTGATGAAAGAATGATTCTCTTCTCTCTTTTAGGTGTGCACCTTCAAAAATTTTGCATAACTTGGTACATGCTTGATGGCATCCAAGAGAGGGATCTTGACCTGCACTTCCTTAAATTTTTTCATCAGCTCATCATTACGCATAAATCCCTTTTTAACTTTTGGTTTTAATGCATGAGGGAAAGGTGTAGTGGAAACATATTCCTTGGGGTCAATATTTACTTGAACCTTTGATTTTTCAACCTTTTCATCATCACTAAAATCATCATCTTCCTCTAAAGTTTTCTGTTTTTGATCTTCTGAAGTTTTTGTCCATAGAAGAGAGGTCTTTTCCATCCTCCTTTTGTTGGTAAGGATCACTCAAAACCTTTCCGTTTCGTAGCTGAGAAATGGCCTTCATGTCTTCCATTTGAGATGGTACAAAAGGTTCTTCAAAACCTCCATTTACCATGTTAGTTTGATTCTGAAAACCAGGAGGATGATTTTGTGGATTGGCTATGGGTTGACTAGGTAGCTGGCCTCCACTTGGTCTAAATTGTTGAGCTGCATGTGGTTTTTGTGTGAGTTGATGCATGGATTGATTTTGTTGTTGTTGCTGTAGCAATTGTTGAATGGCTTGTTGTTGAGTTTGTTGTTGTAATAATTGTTGAATGATTTGTTATTGTTGAATCATGATCTGTTGTAAACCACTCAATTTATTGTCACTATCTTGACTGTTTCCCATGACTTGTTGTCCTTGACCTAATGGTTGGTGTGCTTGAAAATTTGATGGATGTGGTTGACCTTGCATGGGTGGAAATGTTTGCTGCTGAGGTCTAACCTACATGTTGGGATAACTAGAAGGGCTTTGCTCACTAAACATGTTTTGATTTTTCCATGAAAAATTTGGATGATTTCTCCATCTAGGTTTATAAGATTCTACACAAAATCATGGGTAGGCTTATTAAAAATTTGAGCTAATTGAACTTGTTCAGATGTATATGATGGAGGAATAATTTGAGGACATTCATTTTTAGCATGATTTAAACTTGAAAAAATTTTGCAAGCTTGTCTCTTAAATTTTTCCTGAAAAGCAAGAATTTTTCCATCATAAAATTCAGCTCATCAAATTCACTCTTCCATTCTTTATCATCTGATTTTCGAATCTCATAAATTCCACCCTTAGATCTATTAAAAGAAGATGAAGAAACATAGTTAGAAGAGTTCTCACTAAGTTCTTCCAAAAGAGAATATCCCTCATCTTCATTTTTATTCATAAATGTGCCACCCCATGATGCATCAATCATTTGCTTGTTGGCTGAACATAAACCATCATAAAAAATTTGAATTATTTGCCATTTAGGAATACCATGATGAGGATATCTTCTCACTATAGCTTTGAATCTATACCATGCTTCATGCAAAGGTTCATTGCTGTTTTGTGTAAAACTCATAATAATTTTTCTCATCAACATGGTTTTCCACCTATGATAAAGTTTTTTCAAAAATTCTTGCACTACATCAGGCCATGATTTTATCTCCTTTTCTAAAGTAGAAATCCAATAGCTAGCATCACTTTTCAAAGAAAAGGAAACAATGTTAATTTTAATTCATCATCAGCCTCTTTGACAGTCCCACAAACCTTAAGAAATTCTTGCAAATGATCATAAGGATCTTCAATATTTTTACCATAAAATGTAGGCAGCAATTGAAAAATTCCTAATTTAATATCATGCTTGCAAAGAGGTTGCTGCAGAAAATCAAGTGCAGATGGTGGATTAAAATAATCTCTGATAGGTGATGTAACTTAGTCGTTGTATATTAAATCACGCAAATATAAAATTTATAAAACTAGAAAATATGAATTTTTGGATATTTAGAAGTATTTCTGAACAAATATATCAATTATAATTCAATAAAACTTTCAAAAATAGCAGTAATTTTCCAGTTGATCACAGGGATGTAATATAATATCTGGTAATTATTCAGAATTTTCCTTAGAGAATACTATTTTATATGAGTTTTACACTAAGAAATGACAAGGAAATATATTTGAAATTCACGAAAAAAGGAAATAAGGGTGCGGGCGTCAGGATGACGTCAGCGCCCAACGAACGCGAATTGGGCGGAAACAAAGTTCTGCCCGGTGATTCTTACGTAAGCGATTACAGACGATTTAATTGATCAAATTAAGATCTGTAAAAGACGAAAGAATCGTAATGAAATGAAATATATGTTGGTAAATTCAAAATCAAAAAATTATCACTAAATGAAACGGAAATTAAGTTGAAAGCAGAAAAATAGAGTTCCGGCGTCGCGACGGCGATGCGTTGGCGATGCACCAGAATCCTGAGCGTTCGGGAGGATCGTCATGTAGTGTCTACGGCCTCGAAGGCTCTCCTTGGACAAAGACGACGTGGGCAATCTCTAGATCTTCTTGCAAAGTCTAGAGATTAATGAAATGGGTCATCGAGTCGTCTCTGGCGGCTGTCACCCGGCGGAGCGGAAAAATAGTGACTTTGCAGCTCTCCGACAGTTGTCACCCGACGAAAAGGAGCTGGATGGAGGTGGGGCGCGTGTCAGGGAGCTTCATCCTCAGGTCTGCGCAGTAAGAGGAGACTCTTCATCGCATCTGGTACGCTCTCAGGAGGTGGCGACTCGTCTCCTAACAGATCGTCCTCTTCCCGACGACGACTTGTTCATCGATCAATCGGAGATGATTTACTCAATGGATTCACGATCCTTTTATCGTGAATCGTTCAGCAATTTTAGTAGCAATGCTCCGCGAATCGCGTTGACGAGATTTTTGCCGATGACCCAGTGATTCTCGTTGCTTAATCCTTCACCGGCGATCTGTAGGAAAGTCGTGATAATTAGATAAAAATATATGAATTTTGACTCTAGGAGGATTCAAACCCGCGCCGGTTGTCCGCCCCTTTTGAGGAAGGTGTGACGCGGGTTTAGTCCCACATCGGTTGTGCACCGATTTTTCGGGCGAATATATAGTAATGTTAGCTTTCTAAGCAAAGTTCCTTCTCTCGCGTGTACGACCACTCCTTGCCGCACAGTCGGCTGGCCACCGGTGACGTGGAAGGGGAGTGGCACACACGTGCCCCATCGGTTGAAGCCGCTCGAGCCCCTGCTCGCGGCTACTCCCCGACTGAGCTTCCGACCCGCTTGCGGGCCCGGCTGGCCGGCGGGTCTCCCCCTCATTTTGTCTTATTTTTATTTCTTTTTCTTCATCTATCTCAAAAGTAAGACTGTAAAAATCATATAAATTCGTATAAAATCACATAATTACCCAAAAAATCACATTAATCAACTAAAAACCACTTTTCACACTTTAACACAAATATAAGTCTATTTATCATGAGTTAAGGCTAAAACTATATTATTTACTAATTATTAACTCATGATAAGGCAGACTTATCAATAGGTCTAGGTTTTTCTTTATTTTCCTCCATTTTTCGTGAATTAAGTAAATTAGGAGGTGATTTAACTCTAGATATAGGTAGTTCTGCTAATTTGGGTTTTAATGATCTCCTTCCTAGCATGCAATATTAATTCACATTTTTTATTTTTAGTTTTTTCATAGAAATGAGATATGAAAAGAAAGAGTAGAAAATAGAAAAACAAATTCCTATAGAGAATTAAAGATTTCGAAATTACCTTCCCTGGCAATGGCACAAAAAATTGATGTGGTTCTAAGTCCTTATTAGAATCATCAATCAATTTTAATAATTTATAGAACTAGATTCACCAAATATAATAATAATAATTTTAAATGGATATAGTGGTGAGCTAGGTTATCTCCTTAGGGAAGGGTTTTAAAAATATTTTATTCTCTAATTTAAAGAATGACGAAGTTGATTAGAAGATTTAAATTGATATTCAAAGCAATATAAGAAATAAAATGCCAAATAAATGTAAATACGAATTTAAAAATTAAATGAATCAAAAGTAGTAAACGAAAAATTGTCTTTGGAGTGATAAAAATAGAAGAGAAAAAATTAAAGAAATGATTAGGCCTAAGAAAATAAAATTATTTCACAGATCAAAAAAGAAAATAATAAAAACTCTATTAAAAATCAAACTTACAACCCTTAGAATGCATGGCTTGATGTCGACCTCTAGGTAGTGCTTCTCAATCTTACATCTAGTACAACAGAATGGATTTAAGGTGAAAAGGGTAGAGGGGAACAATCCAAATCAATGATGCACTCTTCAGATTTCTATTTTTGTATGAGAAAGAAGAACAATGTTTTCGCTCAAGAACAACCCAAGAATAACTCCGAAAGGAGGACTGACGTGACTTAGTCATTGTATATTAAATCACGCAAATATAAAATTTATAAAACTAGAAAATACGAATTTTCAGATATTTAGAAGTATTTCTGAATAAATATATCAATTATAATTCAATAAAACATCCAAAAATAGCAGTAATTTTCCAGGTCGATCGCAGGGATGTAATCTAATATCTGGTAATTATTCAGAATTTTGCCTCAGAGAATACTATTTTATATGAATTTTATACTAATAAATAAAAAGGAAATATATTTAAAATTCACGAAAAAAGGAAATAAGGGTGCAGATGTCAGGATGACGTCAGCGCCCAGCAAACGCAAATCGGGCGGTAATAGAGTTCTACCTGACAATTCTTACGTAAGCGATTACAGACGATTTAATTAATCAAATTAAGATCTGTAAAAGCCGGAAGAATCATAATAGAACAAAGTCTATTTTGGTAAATTAAAATCACAAAAATTATCACTAAATGAAGCGTAAATTAAGTTGAAAGCAGGGAAACAGAGTTCCGGTGTCGCGATGGCGATGCGTCGGCGATGCACCAGAATCCTGAGCATTCAAGAGGATCATCGTGCAGTGTCCACGGCCTCAAAGGCTCTCCTTGCACAAAGATGACGTGGGCAATCTCTAGATCTTCTCGCGAAGTCTTGAGATTAATGAAATGGGTCGTTGAGTCGTCTCCGACGGCTGTCACTCGACGAAAAGGAGCTGGATGAAGGTGGGCCGCATGTCAGGGGGCTTCATCCTCAGGTCCACGCAGCAAGAGGAGACTCTTCATCGCATCTGGTACGCTCTCAGGAGGTGGCGACTCGTCTCCTAGCAAATCGTCCTCTTCCCGACGACGACTTGTTCGTCGATCAATCGGAGATGATTTACTCGATGGATTTGCGATCCTTTTATCGCGAATCGTTCAGCAATTTTAGTAGCAATGCTCCGCGAATCGCGTTGACGAGATTTTTGCCGATGATCCAGTGATTCTCGTTGCTTAATCCTTCACCGGCGATCTGTAGGAAAGTCGTGATAATTAGATAAAAATATATGAATTTTGACTCTGGGAGGATTCAAACCCACGCCGGTTGTCCGCCCCTTTTGAGGAAGGTGTGACGCGGGTTTAGTCCCACATCGGTTGTGCACCGATTTTTCGGGCGAATATATAGTAATGTTACCTTTTTAAGCAAAGTCCCTTCTCTTGCGTGTACGACCACTCCTTGCCCCACAGCCGGCTGGCCACTGGTGACGTGGAAGGGGAGTGGCGCACACGTGCCCCATCGGTTGAAGCCGCTCGAGCCCCTGCTCGCGGCTACTCCCCGACTAAGCTTCCGACCCGCTTGCGGGCCCGGCTGGCCGGCGGGTCTCCCCCATTTTGTAATATTTTAGTTTTATTTCTTTTTCTTCATTTATCTCAAAAGTAAGATTGTAAAAATCATATAAATTCGTATAAAATCACATAATTACCCAAAAAATCACATTAATCAACTGAAAACCACTTTTCACACTTTAACACAAATATAAGTCTATTTATCACGAGTTAAGGCTAAAACTATATTATTTACTAATTATTAACTCATGATAATGAAGACTTATCACACCCCCCAACTTAAATCATTGCTAGTCCCTTAGCAATAGAATTACAAAAATAAAAATTTACAAATCTCAAACATCATATTTCAATACAAAAAAAATAAAAATACAATTAGAAATGATGCACCTTTAGACACTTTGGACTCTTATATCAAGTCTTTAAGAATGATGTCAAGCACTTAAATGTTTAAGCACTCCTTGGAATAACAATCTAGACTCCACTTCTTCTATTGACATCTTTATCACTTCTTCACTCATAGACATATTTACAAGATGTTCCAATTATCAATAATCATCCAAGAATAATATTGATCCTAGATTTTCCTTTTTCCATGGCTTGATTTTTGAAGTTTGCACTATATTTCTTCCTTCTTTTATAGTGGATAAGTAGCTTTTCCTATAGACAAATTTCGACAATGAGAATGATGTCTCACACCCTCCATGTGTACTCTTAATTTTCAGGGCTTTCACTTTATCGACTTATTTTGCAGCAAGCATTTTTCTATACACGATTTTCGACAATGAGAATGATGTCTCACACCCTCCATGTGTACTCTTCATTTCTAGATTTTTCACATTGCTCTCTCTCTTTTTTTTTCCAAAATAAGTGATTTCTCCTCACAAGTCCTATAGATCAGGGTGCAAAAATCTCCATTAAACTCAAATGATCAATCAAATTTTCACATCAAGTAAATATTATCTATCAAGATCATGAAGTGAAAATCTGTAAAATCAAATCCATGTTATCTATCATGTATCCAAGGAGTATTCCAACATTTCATGCTACTAGATCATTCTTTTGACTCAATAATAATCTTCCTAGTATCTTTTGGTATCAATCAATCTAGTTGATTTAATTTTTCATGCATTCAATATGATGTAAGAAATTTGTAAATTAGATAGTTCTGACAGTTCTGTTTTCTGTTTTCAGTTCTATTTTTAGCAGTAATAAATTTGTCAAAAATAAATCAAAACTTTCTTCTTTATAGCTGTAATTTCGAATTTCAGTAATATATGTCTAGGGGATTGAAATGTGAGAAAAGGGTCTCTATAATTTCAAATTTTGGGTTGTTTTTTCATCTGCTGTTTTTGATAGTCTGTTGTTCCTGACAGAAGACCAGAAAATAGATGTTGCAATTTTTCCGAATTTTATTTTATTTTTTATTTTTTTAGTTGTTGTTCTAAGTTGAATAAAATGCAAACACATGTTCTTAATCGTCTTATAGCATAAATTAATAATGAATACTTCACCCCCCAACTTAAAAATGACATTGTCCTCAATGACACAGAAAAATCGAAATAGAATATGTAGAAAATATAATTTTCACGTGAAGCATGCATATATGCAAAGTTAGGCATTAAAAATGTTGTCATAAATGATAAAGCTCCGAAAGACATCACCTCAACCTCATTTTTAATTTTCCACTTCGTCTTACACTCCTCCTCCTGCACTTTTTCGAAAAAACAAATACAGAAACAAGTACTACGAAATTCTAAGAAAAATAGAGGTTAAAAAAAAATAAAAATAAAATAAAAATCAAACAGAATGAATAAAAACCATGGGTTGCCTCCCATGCAGTGCTGAATTTAATGTCTTCAGCTGGACAGCTCTTAGATCATATAAGATGATCTATGGCCATCAAAATATATTTGTATCCCAAGGTAAGTTTCATGATATTCTTTTTCAGATTTAGCATAAATTCATATACTTCATATATATACCTTGACATACTTTCAGCCAAAAAAAAATGCAAATTAACAAAATCTTCCCAAAAATAATATTTCCATTTTGAAAAGAATCTTTCCTCATTTCTATCTTGTTTTGTAAGACTCTCATTCATTAATAAATACTTTCTATTAATAGACCATAAAATGTGATCAGGCCATATAATTTTCAAATTAGCTCTTACCCAATCTAGAATTTTTTCATCTAAATTGATATCTCTAATTCTTCCACTCACCCATTTCTTAATGTGTTCTTTTATCTTCATAATCTTACCCTGCTCTGTTTTATCTTTCATACATATTTGTTCAATTTGTGAGGAGTGAAATATTTCAAGCTTAGAAATAATTCTAATAGGCTATGGGTTTTGAAGGATGGAAGGATTGTCTTCTTTAATCTCAGATCTAATGAATTCAGTAAAATTCAAATTTTCTCCTCCAAAATTATCTCGATATTCATATTCATTATTTTTGTTTCTCTCCATTAGTTGAATCAACTCTTTTTCTATCTTTTCGTTTCTCAACTCATCAAATTCTTCATCTTTTCAAGAGCTATCTTTTAATTTCGATATATGATATACATCATCATCCTCACTATCAACATCCATGGCTGCAAAATTATGATTAGGTTTATTAATTTTGTCTCCTACATCTCCCAAATCAACTGATTTTTCCTCACCTGAAATATGTTTTTCTTCATTTGTGTCCTTACTCCCTTCTACTAAAATTTGGATGATTTTTCCATGATCAGCTGTTGTTTCTTCATCTAAGGGCTCTTTCTCCTCATCATCCTCATTATATTCATTCATCAATTGTGAGCAATAAATGATTTTATTCAAATTTTCTGCTACTATATTTTCGGCCTTAATATTCTCATTCACTTCTAATGGCTCATCAATTTCTTCTAATAATTGGAAATAAGGATCAAGTAAAATATTCTCAATCAATGTATTCACTGTCCTAACATTTTCATTTCGTGGGTTTTTTTCTAAATTTATCCAGCTAGACTCTCTTTGCTGAAATCCTACTGTTGGATAGTTTCTTGAATTTTCTATGGGCTGACTAGGTGGCTGTCCCTCTTCTCTCTTATTCCCAAGAGCCTCTATAATTTGTTTCTGGTGCAGCATCATTTGATTTATAGTTTGTTGCATCATTTGGCTCATTTGCTGCATCATTTCCATAGCATCAGGTTGGATTTGAGAGGACTGATTTTTCTGAAATCTATGTTCCTGTTTTGGACGAAATTCAAAATGTGAATTGGATCTAAGTGCTTCTGGATTTTGAATATTATTTGGGTTTCTTCACGAAAAATTATTCCCCCAATTAGGATTATAAGAGTTAGAAAAATATTCCCTATTATTACTAAAATCGTGGGGTACCTACACTTGTTCTTGCCTATGATGATTTTGAAATTCGAAATGATCATTTTCACCATACATAAGACATGTACTATTTGAATTAAATTGAGGGTTAAGAGGCTTTCTAATATTGTCAATAAGTAAATCAAGTTTTTCTAATCTTTGATTAATCTGATTAACCTCATTTCTAAATTTAGAATCATCATCATGATGCAATTCATAAATTCCTCTATTCTTATCCTTATCATATAATTCAAAAGAGGCTTGATCTCTAGAATTTTCACTTAAATTCTCATAAAGACTGTAAATCTCATCAAGGGTTTTCTCCATAAAAGCTCCTCCACATATAGAATCAACCATATTTCTATGTTGTTCTAATAATCCATCATAAAAAATTCTATTGAGCTGCCACTTGGGTATAGCATAATGAGGACACTTTCTAAGTAAATCTTTGAATGTTTCCCATGTCTCATGTAAAATTTCTCCTGGTCTTTGAGAAAAACTCCATATATGTTTTCTCATATTTTGAGTTTTTCCTAAGGGATAAAATTTTCAAAGAAAGGCCTGTTCTATATCTTTCGAGCTAGTTAATTCTCTATCTAACGTGGATAGCCAATGGCTAGCTTTGTCCCATAGTGTATGAGAAAATAATTTCATCTTAATAATTTCCGGTGTAACTTGAGGGAGATTAACTAAATCACAGACCATATGAAATTTTTCTAAGTGCTGATGAGGTTCCTCTAAAGGCAATCCATGAAAATTAGAGAGCATTTGAAAAATTCTTAGATTTATTTTGAATTTAACATTGGGTGCTAATGGGACTCTAATATTGGATGCTCGTTGAAATGAATCAGGGATATAATAATTTTTCATGGCCATAGGATTGTTCTCAGTTTGACCTGTACTTCCTTCAGGATCCATCCAAAATTAATTTTTCTTTCAGATTTTTAGTTTTGAATGAAATAATGAAAGGAGTTTCTAGCCTTGGATGCAAGGATCTTCTACCATGCATAAAAATCAATAAATTCGATGGAAAAATTTAGTAATTTTTACCCTCCTTCAGGATGCTCCAGTCCTTGCCTTGCTTCTTTTCGTTCCCTTTTTCTAAACAAAATCGGCAAAAAGAAAATAAAACAAGAGTTAATTTTTTTTTGTGTACTCTAAGAGAAAAATAGAAAAATACTTAATATTATGCAATACATCCCCGACAACGGCGCCAAAATTTGACGTGACTTAGTCGTTGTATATTAAATCACACAAATATAAAATTAATAAAACTAGAAAATACGAATTTTTGGATATTTAGAAGTATTTCTGAACAAATATATCAATTATAATTCAATCAAACTTCCAAAAAAAGCAGTAATTTTCCAGGTCGATCACAAGGATGTAATATAATATCTGGTAATTATTCAGAATTTTCCTGAGAGAATACTATTTTATATGAATTTTATACTAATAAATGAAAAGGCAATATATTTAAAATTCACGAAAAAAAGAAATAAGGGTGCGGATGTCAGGATGACGTCAGCGCCCGGCGAACGCGAATCGGGTGGAAACAGAGTTCCGCCCGGCGATTCTTACGTTAGAGATTACAGACGATTTAATTAATCAAATTAAGATCTATAAAAGTCGGAAGAATCGTAATAGAACAAAGTATATTTTGGTAAATTAAAATCACAAAAACTATCACTAAATGAAGCATAAATTAAGTTGAAAGCAGGAAAACAGAGTTCCGGCGTCACGACGGCGATGCGTCGGCGATGCACCGGAATCCTGAGCATTCGGGAGGATCGTCGTGCAGTGTCCACGGCCTCAAAGGCTCTCATTGGACAAAGACGACGTGGGCAATCTCTAGATCTTCTCGCGAAGTCTAGAGATTAATGAAATGGGTCGTCGAGTCGTCTTCGGCGGCTGTCACCCAGCGAAGCAGAAAAACGGCGACTTTGCGGCTCTCTGGCGGCTGTCACCCGATGAAGAGGGGCTGGATGGAGGTGGGGCACATGTCAAGGAGCTTCATCCTCAGGTCCGTGCAGCAAGAGGAGGCTCTTCATCGCATCTGGTACACTCTCAGGAGGTGGCGACTCGTCTCCCAGCGGATCGTCCTCTTCCCGACGACGGCTTGTTCGTTGATCAATCGGAGATGATTTACTCGATGGATTCGCGATCTTTTTATCGCAAATCGTTCAGCAATTTTAGTAGCAATGCTCCACGAATCGCGTTGATGAGATTTTCGCCAATGATCCAGCGATTCTCGTTGCTTAATCCTTCACCGACGATCTATAGGAAAGTCGCGATAATCAGATAAAAATATATGAATTTTGACTCTAGGAGGATTCAAACCCGTGCCGATTGTCTGCCCCTTTTGAGGAAGGTGTGATGCGGGTTTAGTCCCACATCAGTTGTGCGCCGATTTTTCGAGCGAATATATAGTAATGTTAGCTTCTAAGCAAAGTTCCTTCTCTCGCGTGTACGACCACTCCTTGCCCCACAGCCGGCTGGCCACCAGTGACGTGGAAGGGGAGCGGCGCACGCGTGCCCCTATCAGTCCAAGTCGCTCGAGCCCCTGCTCGCGGCTACACCCCGACTGAGCTTTCGACCCACTTGCGGGCCCGGCTGGCCGGCGGGTCTCCCCCCCATTTTGCAATATTTTAGTTTTATTTCTTTTTCTTCATTTATCTCAAAAGTAAGACTGTAAAAATTATATAAATTCGTATAAAATCACATAATTACCCAAAAAATCACATTAATCAACTGAAAACCACTTTTCACACTTTAACACAAATATAAGTCTATTTATCACGAGTTAAGGCTAAAACTATATTATTTACTAATTATTAACTCATGATAATGAAGACTTATCAAGGACCCTCTTTCTCTCCCCTCTTCCTCTTTTTGTCCCCAAAATCCACATATCACATTTTTTGTTTTGACTTCTAATTTTCTGCTGTTTTTTGCTGATTTTTCTCTGATTTTTTCTTCTCACGCGGTAGTAATGAATATTATCTATTTACGAGATGATAATTAATATTTAAATATATACCCTTCCATGTGTGTGAGAGAATAATCAATATTGTCTATTTTACCAGATAATAATTGATATTTATAAATATATCCTCTGATGCATGAATTGATGAAGATGGTTGGATCCTCGCACCGTCATTTTGCTTTGAGGGGTGATGTGGCCCAATAATCATAGTTAGATCTCCATTGGCTCTCGCTTCTTTTGTGCATGCTTTATCAGAATCTGTGTGAGTCGGATGTGAGGATAGCCACCATTAGATTGACAGCTACTTTTAGCGGTTGCCATTGGATCCTAGAGCTACTTTTTGTTATGATGGCAGCAGTGACGTAGCTTCATGTGGTGCGTCAGATCTGACCACTACTATCGCACTACTATTAGATCTGAAAAGAATAACAAGATACATTTAGTAAATTTATGCGAGTGTTAGCATATGTAATAATGACCACCTCTGATTATATTTATTTTAATGCCTAAAATTTTCAGAAAAAATGCATAAAATATATTTCAATTAATCATAAAAATTTAACACAATAAAATTTTATTTAAAATAAAATAAATGAGAATTAAGTCTCAAGATATGAAATAAATATTTATTAATTTTCTTTTTTTTCATAAAATATCAATTTAAATTAAGATTTAGAGGTTCATTTAAATAATAAATAAAATAACTAACATGATAACTTGTGAAATAGTTCTCAAATATGCATTATTCTACCTGATTTGATAATAGATTAGCATATAGTTTTCACAAGTTATCACCAACTGAAGACATTAAATTCAGTGCTGCATGGGAGGCAACCCATAGTTTTTATTTAATTTTTATTTTAAGTTCTATTTTCTTAGAATTTCGTAGTATTTGTTTCTACATTTATTTTTTTTCTCAAAAAAGTCTAGGAGGAGAAGTGTAAGATAAAGTGAAAAATTAAAAATGAGCTTAAGGTGATGTCTTTTTGAGCTTTATTATTTATGACCATATTTTTACTGCTTAACTTGACATATATGCATGCTTCACTTGTAAATTATATTTTTTGCATATTCCTTTCTGATTTTTCTATGTCATTCAGGACAACGTCATTTTTAAGTTGGGGGGTGATAAGTCTTCATTATCATGAGTTAATAATTAGTAAATAATATAGTTTTAATCTTAACTCATGATAGATAAACTTATATTTGTGTTAAAGTTTGAAAAGTGGTTTTCAATTGTTTAACGTGAATTTTTGGGTAATTATGTGATTTTATATGAATTTATATGATTTTTATAGTCTAACTTTTGAGATAAATGAAGAAAAAGAAATTAAAATAAAAAAAAAAGACAAAATGAGGGGACCCCGCCGGCCAGCCGAGCCTACAAGTAGGTCGAAAGTGCAGTCGGGAAGTTGTCGCGAGCAGGGGCTCGAGCGACTTGAACCGATGGGGGAACGTGTACGCCACTCCCCTTCCACGTCACTGGTGGCTAGCCGGCTGTGGGCAAGGAGTGGTTGTACGCGTGCGAGAAAGGGACTTGACAAGAAATGTAATATTACTATATATTCACCAGACACTTTGTCACACAAGTGATGTGGGACTAAACCCGCGTCACCTTCCCTAGAAAGGACGGGCAACCGGCGCGGGTTCAAATCCTCTCAGAGTCAAAATTCATATTTTTTATCTAATTATCGTGACTTTCTTGCAGATCACTAGTGAAGGATTAAGCAACCAGAATCGCTGGATCATCGGCGAAAATCTCATCAACGCAATTCGCGGAGCATTGTTACTAAAATTGCTTAATGATTCGCGATAAAAGGATCGTGAATCCATCAAGTAAAGCATCTCCAATTGATCGATGAACAAGCTGTCGTCAAAAAAAGGACGATCTGCCGAGAGACGAGTCGCCACCTCTTGAGAGCGTACTAGATGCGATGAAGAGCCTCCTCTTGCTACGCAGACCTGAGGATGAAGCTCCCTGACATGCGCCCCACCTCCATCTAGCTCCTCTCCGTCGGGTGACAGTCGCCAGAGAGTCGCAAAGTCGCCGTTTTTTCGCTCCACCGGGTGACAGCCACCGAAGACAATTCGACGACCCATTTCATTGATCTCTAGACTTCACAAGGAGATCTAGAGATTGCCCACATCGTCCTTGTCCAAGGAAAGCCTTCGAGGCTGTGGACACTACACGACTATCCTCCCGAACGCTCAGGATTCTGGTACATCGTCGATGCATCGCCGCCGCGATGCTGGAACTCTGTTTTCCTGCTTTCAACTTACTTTCTATTTCATTTAGTGATAATTTGTTGATTTTAAATTTACCAAAATATACTTCATTTCATTACGATTCTTCCGACTTTTACAGATCTTAATTTGATCAATTAAATCGTCTGTAATCGCTTATGCAAGAATCGCCGTGCAGAACTCTGTTTCTGCCCGATTCACGTTCGCCGGGCGCTGACGTCATCCTGACATCCGCACCCTTATTTCCCTTTTTTGTAAATTTTAAATATACCTCCTTTTCATTTACTAGTATAAAATTCATAGAAAATAGTATTCTTTGAGGACAATTCTGAATAATTACCAGATATTATATTACATCCTTATGTTCGACTTGGAAAATTATTGCTATTTTTGGAAGTTTTATTGAATTATAATTGATATATTTGTTCAGAAATACTTCTAAATATTTAAAAATTTATATTTTCTAGTTTTATAAATTTTAAATTTGTGTGATTTACTATACAACGACTAAGTCACATCAAGGGGTGAAGTATTAAGTCTTAATTTATGTTGTAGAATGATTAAGAACATGTGTTTGCATTTGTTTTCATGCTCACTTAGAAAGACAACTAAAACAAAAATTCAAAAAAACTGCAGCATCTATTTTCTAGTTTTTTGTCAGAAATAGTAGAAAATATTTTACAAACTGTCAAAAACAGCAGATGAAAAATAGTCAAAAATTTAAAATTCTAAAGACCTTTTTCTCACATTTCAATCCTCTAGACACATATTACTGAAATTTGAAATTACAGCTATAAAGAGGATAGTTTTGACTTATTTTTGACAAATTCTTTGTTGCTGAAAATAGAATTGAAAGTAAAAAGTAGAATTATTAGAACTATCTAATTTATAAAATTTTTACATCATATTGTATACACGAAAAATTAAATCAATTAGATAGATTAATACCAAAAGATACTAGGAAGATTATTATTGAGTTAAAAGAATGATTTAGTAGCATGAAATGTTAGAATACTCCTTGCATACATGATAGATATCATGGATTTGATTTTACAGATTTTCACTTCATGATTTTGATGGATAGTATTTACTTGATGTGAAAATTTAATTGATCATTTCAGTTTAATAGAGATTTTTACACTTTGATCTATAAGACTTGTGAGGAGAAATCACTTATTTCAGAATTAAAAAAAAAAGTAATATGAAAAATCTGAAAACAAAGAGTACACAGAGAGTGTGAGACATCATTCTCATTGTCAAAAATCGTGCATAGAAAAATACTTGCTGAAAAATAAATGGATAATATAAAAGCCTTGAAAATGAAAAGTACACATGGAGGGTGTACTCTTCGTTTTGTCGAAATTTATCTATAGGAAAAGCTATTTATCCACTATAAAAAAGAAAAGAAAAATATATTACAACCTTCAAAAATCATGTCATGGAAAAGAAAAATATAAGATCAATATTATTCTTCGATGAATATTGATAAGTGAACATCTTGTGAATTATATCTATGAGTGAAGAAGTGAATAGAAGAAGTGAAGTCTAGATTGTTATTCTAAGGAGTGCTTAAACATTTAAGTGCTTGACGTCATTCTTAATACTTGATATAACAGTCCAAAGTGTTTAGAGGTGCATCATTTCTAATCATATTTTTTTTATGTACTGAAATATGATGTTTGAAATTTGTGAATTTTTATTAATTTTCTTAATTCCATTGCTAAAGGACTAGCAATGATTTAAGTTAAGGGGTGTGATAAGTCTTCATTATCATGAGTTAATAATTAATAAATAATATAATTTTAGCCTTAACTCATGATAAATAGACTTATATTTGTATTAAATTATGAAAAGTGATTTTAAGTTAGTTAATTATGTGATATTATGTGAATTTATATAATTTTTATAATTCTATTTTTGAGATAAATAAAGAAAACGAAAATAAAGTAAAAAAATAAAAAAAGGGGGCAACCTGTTGGCCAACTAGGCCCACAAGTTGGAAGTGCAGTCAAGGCAGAGTTGCGAGCAGGGGTTTGAATGATTATGGATCGATGGGGGCATGTGTGCGTCACTCTCCTTCTATGTCACCTACGACTAGCCAAGCGTGGGGCAAGGAGTGCTCATACACACATGAAAAAGGGACTCTAATGGCGAGCGGGACCCGTCTCCATCAGCTCAGGAGACACCGTCAGTCCGAGTTCAGCCCGATCGACGTGCGAAGACGAAGGAGCCTGGCTTTCGCTACACAGCCTAGCCCTTCGGGATGACAACATTCCACCTCCGTGACAACGACGAGCTTGAGCTCACCCTTATCTTTCTTTGTATTTTTCACGTTGACTTGTTGAGCCTCGTGTTTGTGTGTTAGCAGGCCCAATTCTATGTGTGTGTTGTTGTTTGTGTCTCCCTTTCTTTAGGGTTTTATTGGGTCTCTCTTTTGAGGCCCAATTAAAACCCTAAGGGGGGGGGGACCTAGGCTTCTTTCCTTTTTGGGCTTATTTGGGTCTTCATTTGAGGCCCACTTAAGCACCTACGAGGGCCCTCCTCTTTCTCCTTTTAGGGGAGCTTATTGGGTCTCCCTTTTAGAGGCCCAATAAGCCCCTTTTGTAGCCTTTTTGTGGCTTATGGGCTTGAGGGCCTCAAGTGGGCCCACCTCCCCTTAGCCCACTTGTGGGCCCCATATAAGGGGAGGTAGGACCCCCCCCTCAAGAGAGCGCCGTATTTTTGAGAGAGATTATCGTTTTGTGAGTACCTTCTCCGTGATCTAGGATAGGGAGGGAAGGAGGAAGAGGAAGGCCGTGGATACCCCCTTCGAGGACTTCGTTCCTCGTGACGCTGCTGCCCGAGAAGTCCCGCCGCCGCCTGAGACCACTGCCGCCGCCGGCCATCTCATTGCCGCCCGGGAGTTCGCCGCCGTCACCGGACGAAACGGTCGCGGTTGCCGCTGCAGCCGCCGCCGCCTCTGCTGGAACCCCGTCACGCCGTCGTGACGAAAGGGGCTCGCTTCGCCTTCCTACGAGCCGTCGCCGAGCACTCCGCCGGAGTCTCTCGACTCCTGGTTCGACTGCCGCCTCTTCCTTCGGAGCTCCACCCCAAACTCGCCGGGGCCGCCCTCCGCCGCTCCGCCCAGTCGCTGGCCGTTCGCCGACGAACGCCAACCTGCCGCCGACGTCGGGAGAGACCCTGCAGCCGTGCCGACGAGCCAGAACCAGTCCAAGCTCCTCACAGGCCCCCGCCGGAGTTTCCCGACGCTCCGCCGCCGTCGCGCCGTTTCCGGCGCCGCTTAGACCAGGAGAGCTCAACCCTCCCTGGTATCGTCGGCCGGATCGTCTCTTCCTCTGCTCCGCTTCCCGGCGCCACCAGAGAGGGCCGATCCTTCCGGCGACGGTTGGGTCTCCGCCCAACCGCCGACGCTCGGCATTCCCGCCGAAGCACCGCTGATGCTCGGCATTCCTGCCGAAGCGCCGCTGACGCTCGGCCTTCCCGCCGAAGCGCCGCCGACGCTCAGCATTCCCGCTGAAGCGCCGCTGACGCTCGGCATTCCGGCCGAAGCGCCGCTGACGCTCGGCCTTCCCGCCGAAGCGCCGCCGACGATCGGCATTCCCGCCGAAGCGCCGCTGACGCTCGGCATTCCTGCCGAAGCGCCGCAGACGCTCGGCCTTCCCACCGAAGCGCTGCCGCCGCGCGCGCCCCGCGCGCCCACCCGGCGCCACTGCCCACGTGCCCTAGGGCACGCCGCGTGGCTTGCCGCGCGCGCCCGCTAGCGTGCCCTTCGGCCCACCTGCGGGCCCACGCCCACGCCGACCGTGCCACGCCTTAAGACGACGACTTCCGCAACTCTCGACCAGGACCGACCGTCGACGCTGAGAATCGCTCTTCACTGGATGTCTCTACCTTCGTCGAATCTCTGCTCCGTCACGACCCGCCGGGCTACGCAGCCCTGAAAGTTAGCTCCGTACCCCTTCCTCTTAAGTTTAATTATCTCTCGAAAGGTTTTCTCGGCTCGTCTCCACTGCCATTGGGAGAATGTAGACAAGATAGGACGGTTATCGGATCGTGACTTTCAACGCTGCGCCAGATTCGTCACCATTCGTGAGCTGCAGCCCTAGGCTACCTCACGACCACTGTTCCGCCGTTTGTCCTGATGTGGACCGAGAGTGCCTCACACTTACCATCGTCAAGTGTTTCCCCGGGTTGTCCTAGGTTGATCATGCATATTGGTACGCCTGCCTGTACTTAGGTTATGTGGTAAGACCTAGAGTCTAGGGTTCAAACATTTTTATCGGATCTGTCCGACTACTTCATCTCGGGTCTCGAGTTTTATTGATCATGTATAAGGGTTCTTATCTCATCTTGCATCAGACTCATTGATTTTCAAATCTCGCATTACTATATATGCGTCTCAACATTCAGCTATAATTGATGTGAAACTAAATCGGCAGTCACCTTTCCTAGAATGTTTTCAAAAATTTTAATATCTAAAATATCTCTTATTTATAACAACGAGATACCATGATGACATCACTATATAAAGGTATTTGAGTACTTATTTCATTCTCTCATATAGGTGGGTGATCAATGTAGGTTAAAATCATACCAGAGCAAAAATTCATATTTTTATTTGATTAAATCGCAGCTTTCTTATAAATCACTAGTGAAGAATTAAGTTACCCAAATCAATTGCAATCGACAAAAATCTCGTCAACACAATTTGTGAGTATTGTTTCTAAAATTGATGAATGATTTATGATAAAAAGATTACAAATCTATCGAGTAAATCATCTACGATTGATCGACGAACAAATTGTCATTGGGAAGAGGATGATCCATCAGGAAACAATACTACCTCTTGAGAGTGTACTAAATGTGATGAAGAGCCTCCTCTTGCTATGCAGACCTGAAGATCAAGCTCTCTAACACGCGCCCCACCTCCATCTAGCTCCTTTCCATTGGGTGACAATTACTAGAGAGCTGTAAAGTCGTTGCTTTTCTGCTTCACTAGGTGATAGCTGTCAAAGACGATTTAACGACCTATTTAATTGACCTCTAGACTTCACAACAAGATCTAGAGATTGCCCACATTGTCATTGTCTAAGGAGATCCCTTGTGACTATAGACAGTGCATGATAATCTTCCCGAAAGTTTATGATTCTGATGCATCATCAACACATTGTTGCCGCAATGTCAAAACTTTGTCTTTCTTGCTTTCAAGTTAATCTTCACTTCATTTAGAGATAATTTGTGTGATTTAAAATTTTCAAACTACTCTTCGTTCAATTATGATTCTTCTGGCTTTTATAGATCTTAATTTGATCAATTAAATCATCTATAATCACTTATGTAAGAATCATCAAGCAAAACTCTATTTCTGTTCGATTCACATTCGTCAGGCGTTGAGGTCATCTTGACACCCGCACCCCTTATTTCCCTTTTTCATGAATTTTAAATATATTTGATTTTTATTTCTTAGTCTAAAATTTACAAAAAATTGTATTCTTTGTGAAAAATTCTAAAATATTAGTCGATATTATATTACATCTTTGTAATTGACTTAAATTTTTTTCACTATTTTTGAAAATTTTATTGAATTATAATTGATATATTTATTTAGAAATACTTCTAATATCTTAAAATTAGTATTTTGTAGTTTTATAAATTTTAAATTTACGTGATTTACTATACAATAACTAAGTCACGTCATCTCTTCTCCACGATGATCTTGAGCATGAGAATGTCATTGACCAGGCCTTGATTTTTTTTCTTTTTCCTTCGATTAGCCACTACTAGAGAGAGCCAAAAAGTGTCCTCTAAGAGGGGAGCATTAGGCCTTAAACCTCTGGAGAGTTAGGCTCCCTCTAATAGATGGTTATGATCAATAACTAACTCTTTTGGTTGATGGCCTAGATTCTTTCCTGAGGGTGGCACTCTAATCTTCCTCTTAGTCTCCTCTTAAGGCACCCTAAGATGGGCGGCTTAGATCTCATTTCATGATAGCCTTTTAAGTCCAAATGGGCTAGGCAAAGGTGACACTCCCTTAGGCCCATAAACATATTAGGCTAGTCCTCTTCATAAGACTTGGGCTTTTTCCATTACTTTCAACTCATAATAAGAGCTCACCTAAGTCTTTATAATCAAATAATTATCAAAAAAATATGAGAGAATCACCACTTGACTTCATAAAAGTCAAGTAAGGTTAGTCTCATAATATAAATAAAATAATATATATTAGGACTTAATGATAAAACATTATGAATGTCGTAATGAGTTGGTAACATGTATAATTACATTCTTTATCTATTAATTAGCATCTATATATAAGATATTAATGTATAGATGTGACTACTAATTTATAATTATCAGACAAAGAGAGAGAAACATCTCACAAAAGAGACAGAGATCGATTGATGGAGAGAAAGAAAGGGAGATCAATCAAGAGAAAGAGAGAGAGAGGGAGAGAGGGAGAGATTTCATGAGAAATAGAGAGAAAAGAAGACGTCTCCTAAGAGAGGGAGAGAGATAAATAAGATGATAATAAAGAAAGAGAGAAATATGGTCAACTCATTTTCATGGTGACCATTATTCTCATATGAATGTGTGTTGAAAAATTCACACATATGACATGAGGTCAGCCGTGAATGTCTCCATCTTGTTTTAATAGTTCAATGATCATTAAGTAACTTTTAATCATGTTGATTTCGTATTTAAAAATAAAAAAAGATCTATTATTCGTAGAATGTCAGGTATTTTACTGTGAAAATCAATAAAAAATAAGTTAGACATGATCTTAGCTTGATCTCAAATAAGTTTCGAAGGATTTAGAAAAAGAATGAAGATCATTCATCATGATTTAAATTAGTTCTACTCATTTCAATCGAAGCATACATGAAATAAAAATAATTCGTCATAAAATATAAATAAATAACAAAAGTAGGTAAATAAATATTGAAAGTGGGAAAGAAATCATTGCTCAAGTTTAGTCTACCTCTTGGGCAACTAGAGACACTTGTGTGGTAGTTTGGTTTTATCTAGACATGCCACACCTAGCTAGAAGTCACAAAAGTATCACCCGAAAACACTACACTACTTGCCTCCACTGAAAAAAGGGGTCGACCATGCTGTCACCGTCGTCTAGGGGGAGAAGGGAAGAGCTAACTACTCGCTGGAGGCCTTGAGTACAGTCGGGGGAGGAAGGAATGAGCTTATCAATTGTCAGAGGTGTTGATCGTGCAAAAGGAAGGAAGAACAGATTGTTGTATTTGCAATTGTTGTCAAGATTCTGAAGATAATCAATAATATATATTTTACTTGATAATAATCAACTATTATCTTTATATCCTTGATAGTGATACAAGTGAGAACTTGAGTTCTCAATATTGTGACGCTTTGTGAGCCACTAGATTAGATGTGCATCGCCATGTGGTGCACTGAATGACGTCAGATTAACCTGCTATGAATTGCTACCTCGACAGTTAACCTGCTATGAATTGCTACCTACCCAGTTGACCCGAATGAGCGATGTGGATGATCATTTATGGTCATGTGCATTTTGACTGGCATTGGATTCACAAATCATCGATGGATTGTTTTACACATTTGGTATTGTGGTAGCTCGCCCACCATAAGATCTGTCTTATCTGATGATGTGGCATGCTAAACGGTATTGAATCACATTGCGCTCTAGACCGCTGCCTTGAAACAAACCAAAATATTTAATCCCACATCAAAAGGTTTACATTGATTAAACTAAATATATATGAAAATAATACTCTCTCAATAGAAATCCCTTCTCCCAAAATAAAATAATACCCAAAACCATCTTGAGAGAAGGTAAAAAGATGGTCCGCATTTGTGCGCACATGTGTGTACAATGCTCCTTCCTCCACAACCAGTTGGCCAGTAGGGCATGATAGGGAAGTGACGCACATGTGCACAAAGCGAGTCCTTTGTCACTCGAGTCAAGCTCATGGCTCCCCTAGACTAGGTCTACCCACTCAACCACATCGCTCCTTCGGGTCAACTGTCGAGTGTTAGTTTGCCAGCAGCCGACAATATTTTTATATTCCATTCTTTTATTTTTCTAAGAATCAAAAATTTAACTAGGTATTTCAACTTGAGACTTCTAAAATTAATAATATATTTCTATATTTATTCTACAAGCTAACACATAGAAATAAAATAATAAAATAAATTAAAACACAAAAATCTAGCTTTAACAAAGGGTAAGAGATACTCTTGAGGGACTTAGAAGAGTTGACCTTAAACTCTACTAAGGTTTCACATAGTATTTGGATGAGAATTGATGATTTAATGATGTGGAAGACCTACCACGATTTAGAGAGCACTTAGAAAAGCACTTGGTGCATATTCCCCACTGAGGTATATTCATAAGCTGTTGGGTGGCATATTTATTTTTAATGCTTTGATTAGTCCTAGCCTATATTTTCTATATATTCATTTCTATGGGACAAGCAATGCCTTAGTAGGGTGATGTGATAAATATTTACTTATCACTAACAATTAATTAATTTTCTCTTCGACTTTTGCATTAATGAATCATAATAAGCATGAATTAATATATGTCATCATATTAACGCAAAAGTCAAAATATATGTATAAATGACTTTAAACTTAGCTATATCTACATCATGAAATTTATGGATTTCATTACTAACACTTTATAACCTTTTTCTAAGTTTTATAATTTTGAGAATGTATGTAAATTTATCAGGAATAAGGATTTAAAATTTCAAAATTTTATTCCAAGGAGATTAATTTCTATGGATTTACTAAAGTGAGAAGAGTTAACATAGAATGTTAAAGCTCAAAGGCCCCAAACATGAGAAGGGGCAGATTAGGGCATAAAACATAGAATTAAACACAATGTGCAAAAGATTAGGCTCAATCAGGTCATGTAAAGGATGGAGAAAGAAGGCCCAAATAGGCATGGATATATAAACCTAAAAGAGGGCAAAATAAAGGGGTGGCTTTTTTGCACTCAAACAAGAGGTAGTGGCTAGGTGACAGACAACTAAGGCTCAAGGTTGCAAGCACAATCTCTATACTTTTTCTCTCATTTCTAAATTCCTTAGACTCCTTTTTATTTTTTAGACGACAAGTATCATTTAATATATGGTATTTCATTGAGTGTCTAATGAGTTATTCTTCTCTATCCTTAACTTCTCATGTCTTGACATTGACATCAAGGCAAAGGAAGATAAATCTATATCAACTCATGTAGTTTATTTTGGGTTTATAATTTTTTCTGGATACCTTACTTTCTTACAAATCCAATGAATATTTTATCTCTTCAAACGATCATACTTTGGTGAGTTGGTGATAGAATCATCAAGCATATCGTCGGAAATCATTTTCTGGGTAAGCAAGAGAAATTTGTATCAACTCGTGTAGTTTGTTTTAGGTTTATAATTTTTCTAGATACCTTAGTTTCTTAAGAATCTAATGAATATTTTATCTCTTCAAACAATCATGTTTTGGTGATTTGGTGACAAGATTATCATGTACATCATTGAAAATTATTTTTTGGGTTTCTTAGTTTGACCTTTCCTTGGATCAAATCTGATTTCACGAGTGCCACATAGAATTAGGCCAAGATATTTTGAGAAAACTTAGCATAGTTAGTTTCTTATCTTCTATAAGTTTTTTGAAATTTTATAAAGTGTTTAAAATAGGATTTTATATTTTACAAAAATCATTTCTTGTATTTTTTATATTTTCGACCCTCAGAACGAATTCAATTTCATGAGTGCCACGTTGAATTAGGTTAAACTAGTATCAGAGTATTGTTAGACTTCCAACCAATGTTAGGCTTTCATATTCAGCATCTAAAAGAAACACAAGATGTCTACTAAGTTTGATATTGAGAAGTTCAACCAAATTATCAACTTTTGAGTAGGGAAGGTGAAGATAATGCTCTCTTTACCCACTAGGGGTTGCATAAGGTATTACTTGGGAAGTAGAAAATGTTATGTACTATGTCTATGGACAAAATAGAAATTAGACAAGATGGCCTTAATTGTGATTCAACTTAGCTTGTCCAATGTGGTTTTGTGAGAAATCAATTAGGAAACTTCAATGGCTGCATTATGGTTAAAACAAGAGTCATTATATCTGACTCTATCACTCATGAACAAATTATTTTTAAATCAATATCTATTGATATTTAGGATGCAGAAAGTACATCAATCAAATCTCATCTTGATGAATTCAATTTCATCTTATTGGATTTATAAAATATTACTCAAAGAGTAAAAGAAGAAGATTGGAGTATGTTTTTATTTTGTTCTTTACCATTGTCATATAAACACTTTTGTGAAAAATTGTTATATGACAATGATACGATATCTTTGAAGCTGTTAAATCTTTTTTATTTTCAAAAGATGAGATTGATATAGATATGAGTATTATTTTACAAGGACATCAATCTAAGGAATTTATTACTAGAGGTCTACCCTAGGAGAAAAACACTAGATCTAAATCAAAAATCAAAAATAAATTCTGTAATTATTGTTGAGAAGGAACATTGAAGGGTGATTGTTATAAACTCAAAAGAATGCATCAAAACAAAGATTTAAAGGAGTCTACTCATGTTGAAAGTTCAGCACAAACTAGTGTTACCAAAGATGAGAGTCATGATTTCATTCTCTTGGTTCATGGTATCAAATCCAAAGACGATTAGACTTTAGATACATATTCCTCATACCATATGACTCCAAAGGAGTATTTCTCCACATATGAGAAAATCAATAGTGGTGTGGTCTTAATGAAGAATTTCACCCATATAAGATAATTGGTATTTGTTCATTCTACATCAAAATGTTTGATGGCAACATAAGAACATCGTTTGATGTTGCTATGTTCTAAATTTAAGAAAAAATATCTTATTTAGACAGTTTTGATGCTAATGGCTATAGGTATTCAGCTAAAGATAGGGTCATGAAACTCAATAAAGGAGCCCAAATTATGATGAAGGGAAAAAGGTGTTGTACCATTTACATTTGATTAGGCACCATGGTTTCTAATTCAGCCATAGTGGCATCTACCACTAGGAAAAAAGAAGATGGTACTAAATTGTCTATGGCATATAACATTAGGACATTTGAACAAGAATGAAATTGATGTATTGAGCAAGAGCGGTTTGATTTGTAGACAAAGTGATCATAAGGTCAAGTTTTGTGAACATTACATCTTAGGAAAGCATAAGAAAGTTGGATTCCAAATAGGAATTCACAAGACCAAGGTACTTGTAATTATAGCTACTTAGATCTTTAGAGTCTTTCTCATGTTCCTTTAGAAGAATATCCTCTTACTTTTTATTATTTACTGATATTTTTTCTCAAAAAGTTGTGTTCATACTTAAGCATGAAAGTGAAGCATTTATGTATTTAAAGTAATTGAAGGTTTTACTTGAAAATCAGATAGGGAAGAAAATTAGGCACAAGATAATCTATTATACTTTGTAGAAAAATAAAGTTACAAAAAAGATAAATAGAACTCTACTAGAAAAAGTATGTTATATGCTTTCAAATACAAGTCTTAGTCAAGACATTTGGGCAGAAGCAATGTCGACAATATGTCATCTTGTGAACTAATCTCTTGCATCTACCATCAACTTAAAAATACTCAAAGAATTTTTGTTAGGTAATCCTCCCGATTGTTAAAATTTAAGAGCTTTTGGTTGCCCAACTTACATCCATGTTAATGATGACAGGTTAGAACCAAGGGTAGAGTCAAGGGATATGAGTTATGGCTTCCTTATCCTAAATCTCCTAAGCTTTAATTGAGAGAAATGTTACCTTTGATGAGACTGTATTTTTACATTCTAGACAAGAGATGGTTTTCCTAAAAGATATCGATTTTTATAGTGGTATTTCAGAATAGATAGAGTTAGAAATTTTAGGTTCACAGAAGATGTATTCCTAACAAAAGCAAACTATAGTGCTTGACATGCATCTCATGGAGAGTTCTCCACAAACTCAGAATTACTCTCATCCAAGACCAATCAAGGAGAGATATTAGACCACTATTGTAATATAGTTGCTTATCCATTGACCATTGTAGAGGAGACTCTAGACTCTAACAAGCCTTCCAATTTAGATACTATCTCGTGAGGATATAGACTAGTGACTAGCTGCTCTTGAAGAAGAAATTGAATCTTTACATATCAATCAGACTTGGGAGTCAGAAGAGTTTACCAAAGGATAGAAAGTTGGCTGCAAATGGATCATTAAAGAGGCACTCCACATGTTGATGATACTAGATACAAGACATAGTTAGTTGCTAGAGGTCATAATAAAGTGGAAGGTAATTAGATTATAATGATATTTTTCCATTTGTTGTTAAACATAGCTCAAAATGTGTCCTATTATCTCTAGTTGCATCACATAATTAGATTTAGAACAAATAAATGTCAAAACAACTTTTCTACAGTGTAATCTTGAAGCAAAAATTTACATGTAACAACTTGAAGACATTTTTGTTGAAATAAAAGAAAATCATATTTGTTTGCTGAACAAATCTCTAGACAATCTTAAGCAATATCCATAACAGTGATATAAGAGATTTGATATATTTATGACATAACATGAATTCTTTCAGAATAAATTTGACAATTATGTTTATTTCAAAAAGTTTTCAAATTATTTTTTTATTTATTTTCTACTTTATGTTGACAATGTGTTAATTACAGCAAAAGATATGTCTGAAATTAATAGGTTAAAAGTTATACTTAATAGTGAATTTGAGATGAAAGATTTGAGAACAACTAAGAAGATTTTCAAACTAGAGATCCAAAGAAATCAAGGTCAGAGCAAATTATATTTGACTTAAGCTAAGTACATTGAAAAAGTACTTAAGCACCTTAGCATATGGGATGCCAAGCCCATATTAATACACTTGTTGTTGCTCATTTTAAGTTTTTAAATTCATTATCACTACAGTTCCTAAAAGATAAAGAATTTATTGTCACCTTCAAAGTTTCAACATTGTTCAAACTTGATCTAAGTTCACAACACTAAAAATTAATCTCCTATTTAGAAAAGATTTTCAGCTTTTCTTTTACGTTGCAGCTATGAGGAGCTTATGGATTTTTCAACATGAAACTTTGAAGAAGTTCATGCGAACCAAATCAAGGTAGAGATTTATAAGAGTGACTCAGTCAACCCTTCTTTTAGGAGAGGTACATCTGAACCTCATCCCCTCATTATGCCTTTCTTGAGGACTAACTTCAAGTACGAAACCACTCCAGCCCCCTTTGTAATATAGATATTAAAAGAGGGCTCAAAAAGAGAGAGAGTGAGAGAGACAAAAAGCAGAGGCATAGGAAACCCCTTTCTCTCCAACAGCTAGAAACAAGATTTTGACTTTTCCTCTTCTCCCATTTGATGGCTGGTACAAATACTTCATTAACTCTATACACTTTTGTACTCTATCCTCCTTGATATTAGATATTCTCTTTTCTTCTTGTTTAGTGGTCATGATGTAGCTTTATCCTCTTTATATCACATTAGATTCGTGCTGCCTTATTACAACATACTATACATTCTTCAAATCATTAAAATCATGAAGTCCTAAATCTGGTTGCATTCTCTAACAAAAGGTGCTAAATAGAATTGTGAAACTCAGGGGGACAAGATTTTCTTTATCAAACTTACCCACCACGTCTCTCCAAGCCATGAAAGAAACCTTAACGTAAATGTCTGATCTTGTAAATTTGTATCCATAACATCTGACCGTTTAAATTTGTATCCTCACATGGAGGCATCCTTTGTTATCCCAGTGCCCCCTAGGGTTTCATGCCGTCTTTTGGGGTGGTATATGGGTTCTGCACTGTTGTGCAGGAGGTGAGTGAAAGGACCTACAACAGAAGTATAATCGCTCAATGCCTTCTGCTCCAAGTGTAAACGTGCCAAAAGAACCCATAGAAAAATAAATAGAAGAGCAGGGAATAAGATGTACGTACCGGGGTTTACGTGATTCAAAGAAATATTTCTGCATCGACGGGGAGAGCAAAAGAGATGCTACGATAAGTACAAGAAGAAACGAAAACAAAACCCTACTAGATGGTTGGATATCTTTCCTTAACACCATGTCGAACAGCTCATCCGCCTCCTCTAGATGATGCGCTCTAAATGTGCACAACTAAGAAGTGGTCGTAAACCCCGCTCCTCTTCTTTAAACAGAGGAAGAGAGAGAGAAGGAGAAACAGGGAACGGCCTACAACTGGTTAACTGGTTGACATCAAGACCCCAAGAAGTTGACATCAGAACAAGGCTCACACGTCTCGACTACCATTAGACCGAACCGAAAAGGCATGATTGGTGACCCTCGTTGTCCTGTTGACTTTGCTGTGCAGCAAGTTGGCAACGTTGCCGCCCCGTAATAAAAGTTGCCACGCGTTGACTCAAAAATGCCGTCCGAATATCCTACGTACCTTGGGCGTGCCTTCGTTTCTTTTATCGAATGCCTTTCAACAGTTTATTTTTGTTCGTTCAGCCCGAGTTTCAGCAATACACTTGAGAAGACATGAATTCGGGAACCTAGAAAGCGTGTCCCTTTCGGACCGTCGAAGGGCCGGGGAAAGGGAAGGGGAGGGTGATAAACCTGGACCACACTGGATGTCAACGCCCCGAGGAGGGGGTGGGACCCTCGGCATGAATCACGTAATCATCCATTACTTGCAAGCTTCTCCTTAGGTCCCAAGCACTCAAAGAAATATTTCTGAATTGTCTTCCAAAATGGGTTACGTGGCCACTCGAGGATCCCCCATTGGCGTCTGCCGGTACGTTTCCTACGTATTCCTGCTTTTCTATTACTTGGGAGTCCTTTGGTGAACCTACTTTCTTCCAATGGGAGAGGCGGAATGACCCGGGAGGTGCACCCCCCCTCCTGCTCTCTACCTCTCTACGGATCCTGAAGCTACTTCAAGTTCGTCTTTGTCCCTTCTTCCCCGCTCAGGCTCCCTCATTGCGGCGGCGAGTTCTTCTTCCCTGCTGGCGGGATCTGGCGGGGAAATCCATTACTTGGTGAGAGATTCACCAGAGAAGGTATGGAGTTCACGGTTCAGTTCTCGATAGATTGTCCATTTCGTCAGACTTGTTTCTGCGGATGATAGTTCTGCCACACGGTCGCGTGATCTTTTTTTCTATTTTCGGCGAACAAACACTGTTGTTGGGGGTGCTGTTCTCTTCTTCCTCCGATCTTACCTTGTGATAGTTGTGATGCCTCTGCATGGTCTGGTTATTTCTTCCGAATTTTCTCTGTAGCAGGGTACCCCTCCGCTCCTCGCTCGCCATGGCCCCAGCTTATGATGATAGCCTCGACAATTGGATAGACAAGGTCAAGTCGCAGGGGTCTGTTCCCCTCCTCGACCCAGACAACTGTTCCAACGGATGGGCGTCTCCGCCCGGAGACAAATTCAAGGTCAGAGGCCCTGATTATCTCTCTTCCAGAAAGAAGATCCCCGGCGGCGACTACCTCCTGAAGTCCCTTGGATTCGACTGGATAAGAAGCGGGTCTAAGATCGGAGAAGTCCTGAGCCACGAACATGGGCGCGTCAGAAAGGCTCTTCTCGACGCTGAGCTCGCCGGCAGTGTTACCAAGCCCTTCGTATGGGCCTTCAATCTGCAACTCCCCTCTAATGTTAACTATAGCCTCATCTCCTACTTCGTCTCGACTGAGCCCATAGCAGAGGGGTCGCTCATGGACCGGTTCCTGAAGGGCGACGACGAGTTCAGGAACTCCAGGCTGAAAATGATAGCCAACGTCGTCAAGGGGCCGTGGATTGTGAGGGCCGCCGTGGGCGAGCAGGCCGTCTCCATCCTCGGTCGAGCTACTACATGCAGGTACATCACGGGGAAGAACTTCATCGAATTGGACGTGGACGTAGGCATTTCCATGGTCGGCAGAGCCGTTGTTCGATTGGCATTCGGCTACATCCAGACGCTGACGGTGGATCTCGCGTTCCTGATCGAGGGCCAGGCCGAATCGGAGCTCCCCGAGGAGATCCTCGGAGCCGTCAGGTTCTCGGAGCTGAATCCGGATTCCGCTGGCTTCTTTCTTGAGCTGCCTTCCCATGAGGATGAGACTAGAAATTCGCAGTCCTCACTTTCCTCGAGGGTTTGGAAGTCCATCGGACAAGGGTTCTCTCATCTCCTCCACCCCAGCGGTCAGGGTCACTCGTCTGTCCCTGAACGCGTCAACGGTCGCGTTCACGAAGCAGAATTTAGCGTGAGAGAAGACGGCAGTCCGGAAGAAGAGACCAGAAAGTAGTGGCCGCGCTCCAGTTGCGGTTGGTGAACGGCCTGAGCTGCCTGGAAATCATCTGGTAGCTTTCGTAGGCGCATCTCAGCTCTCGTTTTCGTGGTGCATTGGATCCATCCGCCCTGTAGTAAGAAAAGGAAGAAAGACCTTTTCAGAATGAGGGGAGAGCTCCACTGTGGGGTGTCCAACAGAGAGATTTACCCTGTAACTCCCACCGTTTTAGTGGCCGACTCTTCTTCTGTTCTGCATCGCCTGGTCTTACCCTTGACGGACTGGACCCGTCCATTTAATTGCTGTAATAACTTCGCAAGCATCGAGCTCCAAGACGTCGAAAATGCTCAAAGGTGCTTTCTTTGGTAATATTATTCTCCATATGATTAAACGAAAGAACGCTATTTGTTGCTATCATCAACATTAATATAGGAAATTGCTGCATTGAACTGGCCATCTTTACTAGGCCCAGACCAGTTTTCGAAGAAAGAAAAATGGGCCTCCCTCCTCCTGCTCAGAGGAGAAGGGGGATTACAATTCTGCCGGCCTTCTTAGCGAATGCCTCATAGAGAAAGCCTCCCTCCCTACCCATACCCCTTCTCCCACAGGAAGTGAGAGACTTCAAATATAGAAAAGGTCAGCTGATTCATCATTAGAGAAGCACTTGCCCAGTTCTCCACACTCAGTAAGCTCCCCATGACGGCGCCGTCGACGTCCCCTTTTCTAGCCCGCCGGAGAATGGAGAAGCCAGATTGGCCGCCCAGTCATCAAAGAGCGCGAGCTTCTCCATTAACTTCTTCACCGCAGTCCCGACGACGTAGGAGAGGCCCGACCCCCCAGCGGCGAGTCCCACGTAGCGCAGAAGCATCTGTAAGTACGGCTTCTTCCGCCCTTCCTGCGCGTGGGCCTTTGCGACGGCGAGCAGGGCGACACAGATGAGGGATGCTCCAGCGACGGTGGCCATCTTGAGCTCTCTATCGTCGCTCTGCCTGAAAGAGAAGCCGTAGATGACCGGCGGCGAGGCCCCGAGCAAGACGAAGCAGAGTGAAGCTACGGTGAAGTGCACCCAGAAGCGCCCCTTCTTTCCGAGCAACTCCTCGTAGCGACTTGGCGTCTCATTTCTCAGCTCAAACAGCTGCAACAGGCATTCGGCCGGTCATTAATAAGAGCATCATCATCATATATGTGAGGATGGATAGTCGCTTGATTAGAATTCTAGACGAAGCCCAGAAGTAACAGACACTCGCGGCCGGCTTCCTTCTTCGCCAAAATCTTAAATACACAAGGACCGTGGTTTGTTGTCTACTCACATTGTGAATCAACGTTGGCAATCCGCCGACCAGATTTGCCAAGCCCAGTGCAACGACGTTTACTGCCAAGACGAATGACCCTCGTCAAGCAAAATTCCTTGCGTAAACCATGAACTGACACACAAAAAAGAAAAAAGTGAAATCGAAATTTAGTTCGTAAATCAACCTAGGAACTCAGCTCCCCCCCTCTCTGGGAGACGGTCCCGCTCTGCGTCCCAGAGTACGTAGAATAGGATGCATAGGTACGCTATTCTCATGGATTGCTCCAACGGAGAATCAAAGCTCGAGTCATTCTACACAAGAAGGTTGGTTCCTAGGAAAGTATCTGGAAAATTAAGTGGCTATTGGCAAGAAAGCAGTGAAGATGCTCCGCTAGCCTGTCAGCGCTTTTGGTGGAAGGATAGGGAGATCCCGTGCTAATGTTGAGGCCTCTAACCAGCAGTCACGTCGTCGTAATAATACCTTGATGACCCGTGACTTGTAATTAAATATCCCACGGAACCCAGAAAAGCCTAATTAATGAAGCGAGAGAGAGCGCAGGTTACCAAGAACAGACCGCAAGAAAGAGTGTTTGAGAGGATATCCCACAGAACCCAGAAAAGCCAAATGAATGGGGAGAGAGAGAGAGGAAGTGCTAGCTGCCAAGAACAACACCACAGGACAGAGCGGACAAATCTTTTTGGTCGATATTTAAACGAGACAGCAGTAACTGTTCAACACTCTTTATGCCAGCGTGCCATCCACCATGTCTGTATCATCAAATCTGTCATGCATCGTAGTTTCTAACTCAGCTCACATTAGGAAGAGAAAGCCAGCTAGCTGATACCCCTCTCCCTGTCTTTTCCATCTTCCTTAGAGATATACCATGTGACACATTGAATTATTCTACTGACCCGATCATCCTACTAACTTCACTAGTGGGCGACATTCTCCACCATACTGTGAGGAAATACTAGAACTTGAGACTGATCATTTTTAGTGACATTATTGATTATTCTACTACAACATGGAGGATTTCCCTATACGCAAGAACTCCTTAATTTAAATTATTCCTCCGAATAAAAGGGCTAAAATGCATATGCTCCAATAGAAGGGTAGATATTTATTATTTCTAGCTCATAACCTTGTTGATTTTGAATGGGGGAATTGGCAATGGAAGTTCTAAAGTAAAAGAGCGGGTGAAGGAGATAAACAGAGCGGCCATCATCAACCAACATGACACAAAGAGCATCATTCATCAAGTTCAAAACCACCATAATGACTGGTATGGATGCCAGAGCAATACTCAAAAGAAACCATAGGAGGAAAAGGTAGGGGAGACTTGCCATGGCTACTAACCATTTCATACCAACACGCCAGCAACAATTTCATTGCCACCACTTCCTAAATATTGGATGTTTGGTGGTTTTTCTTGTTTCCTTCTTTCCTTTCTTGGTATCACTTTTTTCTGTTTGTTTCTCTTTCCTAAATGTTTCCTCCGTAGAATCCACTAGAGTCAGCTTAGCCTTAATTTACGCATAGTTCTACACCAAGATTTCATGTATTCCCAAAATAAAAATTGGTAGACGCTGTCCTCTTCTCAAAAATCGAACCAACCAATCATTTACAGCATAACAAGGTGTTCTGTATCCATATGGCTGTCGTAAAAAGATATTGAAAGTTTTCTTCCATAAACCATTCACATTGGGAAGATCCTCCAAGGTTATCCTCAATACTATCTCAAATGTTACAATGTAGCGATGGTAATTTGGAAAAAGAACGGGCTGAAAAGTTGCCACCGATGGAGCGGGGGTGGAGGGGTTCTGGCTGCGGCTGTGGGAACCACGGCAGACATGCATCATGATCTTTTCTCATCCTCATCTTCTTCATCTTTTTCCTCCGCGTTTTCCACAAACTTCCAGAGAAGAAATCAAGGAAATTACAAGGTCACGACAGATTTCTACAGGGCACCTTCTGATTTTCAAAGTCAAATTTATTGGGTCATTTGGTGGAAAACAGACCACATGGGATAGTGGCAGCTCTGGGTATGTAAGCCCTTCGAACAATGCATGGCGTTTTTCCGTCTTTATCAAAGGACAGACCTAACTCCGGAATGAACCAGCTATCTGTAGCAAGACAGACATTGAGGTGGAGTTTCAGCTACCTGTTTTCGTCCTCAGGTAGAGATTCAACTTTTTCCAGTTTTGCTCAAATGATCTGTTGATGATTCCCGTGGAACAAATAGCAAACAACATTGCTTCGTGATGTAAATAAACTACTTCACATATATGTCTCAATAAGATAAAAACCATTTGAGATACCCTCACTCTAATTTTTCAATCGGATCTCCACAGAACATAATTGGTAGAGAAAAAAAACAGAAGGCCTCTAAATTAAGAACTATCTAACTGGGGTGTCTGATACTTACCTGTGCTCATATCACAACCTGCTGCCGCCGAAATAACACCAAGAGCTACGATAGATTCAAGAAGACTACCGTATACAATGGCTTTCAGTATATCCCCCTGAGGTGTCTGTCTAGCTTCTTCAGTTGTTGGCTCCCCTAATAGTATTCGAGTTTCACTGTGGATTGGCTGATCAACTTCTCGAGTGAATAGACTTAAATCAGTCCTGGAAGGCCCTGCTGAGAATGTGCCCTTCACATTTTTCCCCATTCCTTCTGTTGCAGGCATGATCTGATCCTCTGAGAATACGAACCAAACAAAGATTACAGGATTAGAATGGGAAGAACCTTTTTCCCCTTTCCAGCGAATGGAAAGGAAGTCCTCTCGGTCAGCAAGATCTGGGCATCTATCAGCACGAGCTAAAAGCAGTCATTTAATGCATGTAGTACCATAACATCACAAAAAAGGATATGACAAGTAGAAAGCAGGCATTTCTCAGAATGTCTTATCCTCGTAATCCTTTGACAGAACAAGACACCAGAAATGGAGGATGTAGCAGCGAGTCACCAGAGTCCAAAGTTTCATTGGATAGCCTAATATCTACAGTCTGGACAACTACAGTGTGGGAAATGCGATTGCACCTTCATTCCATTCGGCAGCAAAAACTGGTACTTGCATAGGTACTTCAGACCAATCAATTAATTCCTTCCGTCCTAGCAATCTAACCACTTTGAAGCGCCATGACATGCAAACGACACTAAAAAAGCTTAGCAGCGATCACAACTACACAATCAAACCGACCTTGCTTATTCTAGGATGGCTCCTGTTGATTCAAGATTAGGCTATTGATCTCGAGGAGGGGCTATGCATGAATGTTACAGATGAGATTCTGACTTACATGATTCCAAAACTGACTTCTAGAAGTTTCATTCTATATTATTTTCAATGCATGCGTAATTATGATCATGAAGCAGCACTTTTATCGAACATCAAAGAGTAAGTTTCATCATGATAACATTAGAGATCTCAATGATGAAAACCCTTCACGTAGGTTTTTTATGCATAAATCTAAGTTCATGTAAGGAAGGCCGCAAGAAATAGTCGTAAACTGAGTATACCTGAAAGAAAAAATGTGCCTTGGCCATTTCCTGCTGCCAGGAATGTCCGTGCGATTGAGTAGAGGACAAAAACGAACTGAAAATGGGTGACAAAAGGGAAACGTGCTGCATAACGGGGACATAAACAGGCGCATTCAGGAGACCCTCGAGACTAATTTGCAGGTGAGGGGAGTGCATAATCAGAAACCCTACCATGGCACTTGATGATAATCGTGCCTTCACTGAAAGTTCTGAAAGAGGGAAAATTGACCCTGTCCTATGTATGCAACTGTGAACTGGGTGTATATTAAAAACTTATGCTAGTTCAACAAGTTATTGGGGTATGTACATTTGGAGAATCTGATGTCTCTGAGAATATGAGCCGTGTGTCTATACTTCTTTTTTTGATCCTATGATGACACCCTTTCAGGCCCACACTATGAAGAGCAGGAAGAAACAAGAAACTGACTTCAATAAAAAAAGAAACTAGTGGAGACTTATAGGTTATCCGCTGCCCAACCAGGGAGCAGAAAGAAGAGTACCAAGCGAAAGTGAGCAAATATGAAAACACACACGAGTAAGCTGGATCCTTTCTATTTACTTTAGACACTTCATGTATAGGAACTGAGATACCATCATGGCAGAGGTTCTACATAGACGCAACAAAAGTCGGCGATCCTGTTTTGACAAAGCAGAAACACGCTTTTAGCAAAGATGTAGTTACCTTTACCGACTTCAGAAAGGTAAATGTTCTCTGCCTTTCCATTCTCTTCTTTCTCGAACCCCAAGGTCTCAGTCTTTGGTGGCGTTTGAATACACATTTTAGGATCTTGCTCGGCCTTTTCTACCTCCCTTCTAATGTTGGCACCATTTGCAGGCGTCTCCCCACAAAGCTCTGGAGAAATCTTTAGTCCACCAGGTAGATGTTTCTCTGTTTGCCCAGGAAGATTCAAAGAACTGACTTTATCCTCTCCTTTGTCCGCACATGAAGCAAGACCTGGATCACACAAGTGGGGAAAAAATTTACAGGGCATAACTTGGTTCTTGAATGAAAATGAATTCAAAGAGTCAACGTATTTGGTGGCTCCTAAACGAACTTATCTCGTCTAGAAGCCCTAATGTTGTAAGGCACGTGACTGACCAACGTCTGGGGCTGAGGATCGTGCAACTCAATCTCTTTATTTCTTTTGGAATTCATATGAGAGCAGCAACAAATCTATTCGGAAAAACCATCAGATTGTCAGGGGAGATTAAAACAAATCCTAAGTCCATATCGCATCTCCTGAGTGTTCTTTCGAGCTTTTTTACTCAGCTTAAGTTCTTGTTGAACGGAAATCTGAGAGTTCTCTCCTGTTTAGTCCTCTCACTTCTTTCAGCGAAGTTTTTCTCAACTTTTCCAGGCGCTTGCACGTCTAATAGTTATGAAATAGGAACATTTTTAGATCCGAGCCCAGACTACCAGACAATGATTAACTAATCTGCAGTATCGTTCAATCCTTTTATAACGTATAAAGATGGAAAAGCTCGTGACCTCAACACAGAATGCTGAGACTTTCAGCGTAATAGAGAGCATAGGACGTATTCCTTGGAAAAACAGTGTCGAAATTGATTCAAGGAAAACTTCATTATATCTGTTCCTAGTGATATCAACATTTCAACATACCTATTAATGCACATATCTTCGGGGTAATCTGAGGTGTTGCTGTTTCAGTCAACCTGATAGCTGGATACTCACGCATGCACATAAGAATTTAGTAATAAGTAAAAGTCAATTCACGATGACTGCCTTTCGGTTTCAGATGCCACCCATCTGTGGAGAGTCTTCTCTTGTTCATCCTTCTCTGACAAGTGCACAAGATATGCTGATATTACGGAAGTATTTTTCCAGATCAATGGCACTACATACTTTCTTCCCAATTCTTTTTCTGATATTTATCGAAAGGTGGAGTTTATTCCTCATGCCACTGCAAAATATACGTATCATCCTACTACGACAAACACTCCTTTCAAGGATCAACAATCTGGAGGCTTCCTCACTACATGCGACTTCAAATTATTAAAGATTCACACCAACAATAAAAGAAAACCAGTTTTCTTAAACCACTTTCTAAGTGACTCAAGAATCAGGAACAGGCATTCTATGGAGTTCGCATTTGTGGCTTACAGTTAGCCAGTCATCCCCTAATATGAATATTCTGGGTGTCAAATTAAAGCAAAACGATCAAATCCATGATCTATCGGATCAATAAGGCCTTCATGAATCCTGAATGTGCCCAAACAATTGATAGGAGAGAGAAATATAGATTAATACACAGAGTGACCAAACAAGCTATTATTTGTCAAGCTCGTCACACTTTTCAGTGAGTCCTCTGGACTCGTCTTTGGCACCACACCGAGGATTGATAGACTTACATTGCCACACAGACATGCATGCACCAAAAGTAGTACGCTCATCTTTCCATGGTAAATTCTCCACTCATCCTCCATAAGTCTAATGCGATCTCCTAATGGGGAGATCTTCTTGTACTAAAAGAGAACAATATTAATAATTAGTAAATTGCCTTAATAAGATGCCAGTCTTTACTAAAAAAATTGCCTTTTACATTAATTGTATATAACGACCAACTTGATTTGATTAAATCCGATCACCTGTTCTGAGGAATGTGTGCCTTCAAAACTGTGGCTTTATTTTCGTATCAATAAGTTAGGCCCAGTAGCATTTAAGCGGATAGGTAAAAGGACACAAGGAGGGGCGTAACTGTGGGCACTTTTGGGAGAGCTGGGGAGGCGCTCAAACTTGCCCTCAAACTAATTCTAAAGTTTCTTCAGAGCACTTCTTCATCATTCTCTCAGTTTCAGTATTGATTTTCACCTTGGAATTCCGATTTTTCTCCACGGATTCCTCTGTCTTAACCCATTGTTTGGGGGTCCTACCATTTGGTATCAGAACCATGGGGCCCAAGAACAACAATGGGCAGAGTCAGAGCTTAGAGAAGGATGTCAAGAACATAAAGGAAGATCTCCAGCGACTTCGCAGGATGGAAGCTTAGATCTTGAAGATCTCATCCGGAGAAAGTACAATGAACAGGTAGCGACCCAACTCCGGCAGCAGCAAGAGGGCAAACAGGCGACCCTGAAGAGGCATGAAGAGGACCTGGCAACTACCAAAGGGTCCATTACGGCTACACATGGGGAAGGGACAGAGACAGTAAGTCGACCCTAAACCAACCTAGATCCCAGGCATGATAACGAAAATTTGGTTCATAAATGAGAATCCGGTTATCACATTCATCGGTAAGGATGTGTTACTAGCTCATCATGAACAGAATTATTATTTTTAACATGAGAGTCACGCCAGAC